CACACTTCAGACCCAGCTCCCTGGTGCCACCCATCAGAGAGCAGCAAACTAAGTTACAGGTGGGCCCCCCAAAGGAATTGGAAACCCCGTGCGCCTTCCCACACAATTTTAAATTGACATCTACAATATTTTAAAGTTTAATCAGATGTAAAGAATGTACTTTCCAGGATATTTTAAATATTGACATTGTGTTTCATCACTATTGGTAATACTTCCAGTGAATCCAAAGAACGTAGTGATTGGATACCCACCATCACCCACATAAAAAAGTACACGAATAAGCTCTTTATTAATGCAGTTTTACTTCATTGTTTATTTTTTTTTTAAAGTAATTTCTACACTCAATGTAGGGCTCAAACTCACAACCCCAAGATCAAGAGTGGTGTATTCTTCTGACTGAGCCAGCCAGGCTTCCCTTACCTCATTATTTTTGAATATGTTGAGTATTAATGAATATTTTGAAACTTGAATTCAATTCCACAGTCCCCACAAAGTTTCAGCCTAGGGTAATATATTCTTGTGCCTGGTCACATGCTCCTCCTTCTCTGTAGCAAAAACTATGGATGTAAAGTAAAGTTTCAAAAATTTAAAATTTTCTGTGACTATAAGTCACTTGTTTAAAAACTGTTATTCCAGAAAGTTCATTCAAACATTCATTACAAACTATAGAAATGATCCCTGAAAGTATAGTCTTCAAACATTCATTACAAATGTTATTAGATGGAGAGGGTGGGGAAATGGAGGCATGCGCAAGAGAAAAAGGGAGCAAAGGAATAAATCCAAACAAAAGAGAAAACAAAAACAAGGGCGCCTGGGTGGCTCAGTTGGTTGCGCGACTGCCTTCGGCTCAGGTCATGATCCTGGAGTCCCTGGATAGAGTCCCGCATTGGGCTTCCTGCTCGGTGGGGAGTCTGCTTCTCCCTCTGACCCTCCCCCCTCTCATGCTCTCTTTCTCTTCATTCTCTCTCTCTCAAATAAATAAATAAAAATCTTTAAAAACAAAAACAAATGTTATTAGAATACAACTGATCAAAACAATATAAATATATTACAATATTGATGCTTATTAAACAAAATGTTATTTGAATGCATTTTTAATGAGTTGATTAAATTTCCCTAGTTTTGTGTACCAGTGGTTAAATATTCCTTATATCTATGATGAGACAGTGTTCGGCTTCATCTCTTCCTAGTTCTCATTTTTAAAGATATAAGCACTCAGAGGTCTTGTCACATAAATAGGCAACAGAAAAGAAAGGGAGTAGTATTGGAGCAATGTAACTCTAAAATTACTTTAACTTCCTTTTGAGTTTTATGCCAAATCAATAGTAATCCATCATCAGGAGGATTGGGCCCTCCTGCAATCTTGTTGCAGGCAAAACATGGGAACTACTGGACTGGCAAAAGGATTTCTCTCCAAATCTCTGGAACACTTTAGAGCCCTTTTTCTTCTCCAGACCCAGAGCAGGACTTCCAACTGGCCTTTTGTTGGCCTCAGGTTGGGGGCATTTGCCTTTCTTTCCCAAAACAAGAAGCTACTTTTTCAAAGAGTCAATGCCCCATTTGAAGACGTGGTGGGTGAGGATGAGGCACCCCTTGACCAAGGGCCTGGGGAAACGGGTGGGGCCAAGAAGGATGAAAGAAAGTTTCCATCTTAGGATGCAAGTGCATTTTTTGCCCCCACCAGCCTCTTGCCCATAACTTGGCACTGTCAGTGGAGAGGACCTCAGACCTGCCCAGGGTCATTCAGTTAAAAACGGTGATTACTTCAGGCCAGGAAAGCTTAGTGAATAAATTTCAATTAATTAGAATAAAAGTGAACAACTAAATGTCCCGGACTGAATCCTGGGGTGGGGGGCTGGTTGGGGAAGGGGAGCATGCTATAAAAGACCTCCTTGGGACAACTGGCAATATGTGAATAAGGTTTTGCAGGTTAAACAATAGTATTGCATCATGATCAAATCACCTGATCTTGAAAATTCTGCTGTGGTTGTGTACGAATGCCCTTGTTCTTGGTTAAGTACCCACTTAAGGGTTTAGGGTTCAAGGGCGTCACGTCTGCAACTTACTCTCCGGTGTTTGAAAGGGGTCTTGAATACGCAGAGAATAGGTAAGAATGCTAAAACTTGGTGAATCAGGGTTATGAAGGGGGTCCAAGTAATCTCTATACTATTCTCCACTTTTCTGTAACTGAAACGATTTCGAAACAGACGCGGCAAGCCTGGTCTATGTCGCCCCCTGGTGGTTGGCATGGGGAAGCGCACCCTTCGTGTCGGAAACCTTTAAACTCCCCGCCTCGGGCTGTGGGTCCCAACCTCCCAGGGTCCAGCCACCCGTCCTGCAACAGCCTCCCGCCTAGGGCGTCCCCGGCGATGCCGGTTTGATTTCCCTGCTTGCTTAAATCCGTCTGTCTCTGTGAACAGCTGCAGGCATATTTCTGGTGCGAAATAATATGAAGTCACATTAATCTTGGTTTGAAAGAAGTCGGAATTTCAGAGCTTCCAACCCAGATCACATGCTTTCTACAACTTAGGAAACAGGCCCGGAGAGGGCAAGAGATAGAGCGTGACTAGAACCAAAGTCTTCCTGCCTCCTTTTCTCAGCAAGCAGGGGGTCCAAGCCCCTCCGTCCACTCACTAGATTTGACCCTCAAAGCTGGCCACGCCCCTAAAGCCTGGGCTCCCAGGAGGCGCCGTCTGACCTCGCCTCCCGCTCCCGACGCACCTGGGCCCTCTGGTCTCAAACCCACCCGGCACCTTCTCTCGCCTTACGGCCTTTGCATCCGCGACGCTCCGCACCGACTCCCCGAACTACAGGTGCCCTTCCGCACGAGTCTCCCCAGGTGTGCATTCATCCATTTGTCGTTGACCTGTTGCTGCGCACCCCTCTTCCTCCACTGGAATGGGGATTCCTGTGGACAGGACCCTGTCCGTCTGGTTTCCCGGTGTGTCCACCCTCCTGGCCCAGAGCGGGAACTTTGGCGAGGGCAGGAATGTTTGTCCCTGGTTCCTTTTCCTCCCGCCCCGGCCTTGCCCCCAGGTGACCGTCCGCAAGGGAGTGTCCCTTCCCGGAGCGTCTGTGGTTTCTGAGGCGCTCAAGGCCAGGAAGGGGTAAATGGGTGCAGGCGGGGGGCGGGCCGCTACTGGGGGACCCGCCCTCTGGGGGGGGCAGCGTGCCGCAGGAAGCGTGCGCCGCTGTAGCCGCGGAGGGGCGCAGTGGGGTTTGGGACCACTGGCCTGGGTGCCCTCCCAGGCGAGGACGGTCGGCGCGGGCTGGAGGAGTCCTCGCCGCGCCAGCCAGACACCCCTCCCCCAGCCCGCTTCCTGGCCGCGCCCACCGGCCCGACCCCGGCTCGCGCCGAAGGTCCCACCCCGGGGACAATGGCAGGGGCGGAGCTGGAGCGGACGTGCGGACAATGGACCCCCGCCCACCCTGGCCGGTCCGCATCCGGCTTTTCTCGGCCTGGGAGGGCGAGCGGGACGCGGAGGTGGCGCTGCTTCAAGGCCGCCACACACCCGGGCTCGGTCGGGCCGCGAGCCAGAGCCCCCGAGCGCTCCCCAACACACACACCCCGGGGCCCTCCCCCTCCCCCCGACACACACCCCGGGACCCTCCCCCTCCCGCCGACACACACCCCGGGACCCTCCCCCTCCCCCCGACACACACCCCGGGACCCTCCCCCTCCCGCCGACACACACCCCGGGACCCTCCCCCTCCCCCCGACACACACCCCGGGACCCTCCCCCTCCCGCCGACACACACCCCGGGACCCTCCCCCTCCCCCCGACACACACCCCGGGACCCTCCCACGGCGGCCGTCCTGGAGGCCCGGGGTCCACCCCCGACCCAACCCCGCCCCCAGCACTGCCCACCTGGAGACCTGGGGAGGGCAGCGGTGGTTTTCAACACCCCTCCCCTTTTTTAAATTAAGGTAAAATTTACATAGAGGGAAATGGACTGATCTCAAATGTGAAGTTTGATGAATTTTACACGTGTATATATCCTGTAACCAACTCTCAGAACAGGATAGAACATTCTCAGCTTCCCAGAAAATTCCCTGGTGCCCCTTCCCCAGTCCCTGACCCCAAACCCAGCCCCTGGTACTTTTTTTTTTTTTTTTTTTTGGGTCTCTACAGCTTTGCTTTCTCTAAAATGTCCTATAATTGGAATCATACATTGTGGAGACTTGAAACTGACTTTGAGATTCATCCCATGTTTTTGTGTCCATCAATAGGAGGGTTCTTTTTATTCCACTGTACGGCTGTATTTCCATTCGTTTATCTGTTCGCTGGTTGTGGGCCATCTGGATTGCTTCCAGTTTAGGGCAACTATTAATAGAGCTGCTATAAACATTTGTGTACAGGTTTTTGTGTGGATGTGTGTTTTCATACTTCCGATAAACTACTATGTGGGTTTTTAGAGGGCCTGCCCCATTTCACACACAAACACACTTCAGCCGTGTGGGAGAGTCCCCATCGTTCCACATCCTTGTCATCTCTTGTTGTCAGTTGTAAATTTCAGCCCCTCCCGTGGGTGTAATTGTCTCAAGAGTGTTTATCACCTAAACAAATGAGCAAACACCTAGAGCACCCCTCACCTTTAGCAAGTGAAAGAAGTCCTAATGGTTTCCCAGCCTTCCCCTGCCTTCCAAGTAGTGTTTAGGGGCAGGCATGGGTTCTGGGGCCAGGGTCAGCCCATATGCAGATCCTGGTGGACTGATGCCTGTCTCCATCAGTCCCCGAACTTCCTGTGCTTGAGTCCTTCCCAGGCTCCCAGCCCTTGGCGAAGGAGCTGGCCCTGAGCCCCCAGGTCAAAAGTGAGGGGGCTGGGGTTCAACCTGAGTCCTACCTGCTTGGCCATCCAGTCTCCCTTCCAGACAAAGAGCCTGTCTTTGTCCACTCAGGCTGCTATAACAGGATACCAGGGGCTGAGTGGCTTGTAAACAACAGACATTTATTTCTCACAGTTCTGGAGGCTGGGAAATCCAAGAACAAGGCACCAGCAGATTTGGTGTCTGGTGGGAGAGGCTGCTTCCTGGCTCATCCGTGGCTGCCTTCTCAATATGCCTTCACATGGTGGAAGGGACAAGGGAGTTTTCGGGTGCCTGTTTTTATAAGGGTACTAATCCTATTCATGAGTGCTCCACCTCCATGACCTAATCACCTCTCAAAGGCCCCATCTCCTACATCACACTGGGAGTTACGATTTGACATATGAATTTGCAGGGGACACATTCAGTCTACAGTCCAGCCTCTGGAAGAATCACTGATGGACAGATGGGGAGAGAGGCGAGTGAATGCACGTGCTGGGTTTGGAAGCCGAGGGTGTGGGAGGCAGCAGCCGAGGCACCTGGCAGGTAGGTAGGCCTCATGGCTGGACCCCTGAGGACCATCCCCTGAATCCACCCCACATCCGGAGGCCCGGCTCTGCCTCTGAAGCTCCTCATGACCTGAGTTTTGGAAGATGGGGCAGTGTTGCTAGGAGAGGCCTGCTTGCCTTCAACAGATCTTCCTGGCACACCTACTGTGTGCGGGGCACTGTCTGGCCCAGGGCACACAAGTCCTGCTGTGGTGAGAGTCACAGTCTAGCAGGAAGGATGGATGACAACCCCAGGGAGCCCTCCGGCTGGGGAGGGCCTCTTCGAAGGGACTCGAGTGATAAGAAGGGGGCAGCCCCGGGGAGGTCTGGAGGAAAGGCGTCCGGGCAGAGGGAACAGCAAAGGCTAAGGCCTGGAGGTGGGAACATGCTTAGGGCACACAAACACCAGTGAGCAGGCTAGTGTTGCTGGAGCAGAGAGCAAAGGCGAGAGCAGAAGGGGCTGAAATTCGTGAGGTCGAGGGGGTCAGCCGGTGTTTTAGTCCGCTCCAGCTGCCCTAACAAAGTACCACGGCTTTAACCACGGATATTACTCTTCTCACAGTTCTGGAGGCCGGAAGTCCAAATGCCAGGTGTTAGCACGTTTGGTTTCTTCGGCGGCCTCTCTCCTTGGCCTGCAGATGGCCACCTTCTCACTGTGTCCTCACCCGGTCTTTCCTGTGTGTTCCTGTCTGTATCCTAATCTCTTCTTCTAAGGACACTAGTCTTGTTCGATTAGAGCCCAATTACGGTCCTACTCTGAGGTACTGGGGGTTAGGGCTTCAACATATGAATTTGGGGGGGCATAATTGAGCGCATAACACATGGCTTTTGCTCCCAGGGAAGTGGGGGCCTGGGTGAGCCATGTTGAGCCAGAACAGACAAGATCTGATTTGCATGTTAATAGGATCTCTCTGGTGCCAAGGGGGCGGGGTGCGAAGACTAGACTCTAGGGGAGAAGGGGGACACCAGTGAGGAAGCTAGGGCAGTGGTCCAGGCTGGGCGCTGGTGGCCGGGCCTCGGTGGTAGGGCAAGTGGGACGCAGGGGTCAGACACTTGCTGTGTTTCAGAGGTGGAGCCCGCAGGTGTCTTGAAGGATAGATTGGGGGGGGGGGTGGAAGAGGAGTGGAGGGGGACTGGGGTCGGGGCCTTGAGCCCCTGGCGGGGAGCGGGGAGACCCCAGCTCCTTCAGGCATGATTGCTTATCCACTGTGTGCCTACTGTGTGCAGCTCAGCCCCTGCGGGTGAGGAAGGCAAAGCCCGGAGGCAAGAAGCCGGCCACATGGCATGCTGACTTGGCCCTTCTGCTCCTCTGGCCCTTCCTCCTTCCTCCTGGCAACACAGCCTGAGCCCCCACTTGGACAAACATCTTGCGGCCATTTCCGCCTCGCCTGCCCGGAGCCCCAGCCTGGCCTGAACAAACACTCGGGACCTGTGCTTCCGGCTTCAGCTCTGGGAAAAGCCCAACCAGGGGCTGTTGAGGTCAACCCTGGAGAGAAGTGGGAAGGAGGAGGCACCCAGCCCCTGCACGGAGGTCTGTCCGGCCTGCCCTGGGGGCCCCCCCTGCCTCTTCTGGAGCCATCAGAACAGTGCTTGGGTTGCAGGGTCCCCATCTGTCAAACGGGCCTAAGTACACCCACCTCAGAGGGCTCTAGGGGATGGGAAGCACTGAGCCCAGCCCTGGGGAGGGTGGCGCTGCCCACGGGGCCATGAGCGGGTAAGGTTCTAGGGGATCCCCCGGGGCCGTAGGGCAGGGGAGGGGGGCAGATTACACCTTCCCTCCTGTGGCCTCCCCATTCTTGTTCCCATTTTCTGAAATGCCCCATGGTGTGCACCTCTAGGCCTGTTCTGTCCTTTCAGAGCCTCCTGGAGTCCCTGTCTGAGACTGGGAACCAGGCTGGGGTTGGGGCCGGGGTGGACATTCTCGGCAACGTAAAATATATGACAATGGTTGGCTGTGAGAAGTGAGCTCCCCTTCCCCAGGAGCATGAGCAGAGGCAGCAGGATGTGTGGGAGGCGGCCTTGCCACGATTCCTCCTCAACTGCTTCTAGAGCGCCGTGGACTGTGGCGCGAAGTGGACAAGCTAGCAGGTTCTGGGATCAGAAAGACCCAGGTACAAAGGCCAGCTCTGCAGCATGACCAGTGCCTCAGTTTACTGAATGTGGAGGGGGGCTGCTTGGGGGCCTCTCTGGTCTGCGCCCTGAGGGGCACGCGGGGACTCCCCCCTCCGTGGCAAAGGGGGACGGGGTCTCCTTTCTCCACCTAATGGGGTGGGGGTGGCTCCGGGAGGACCCACCACTCAACACCCCCTAGTTGAAAGCTTTCCCAGATAAGGTCTCCCCAGCTGGGGTTTGATTTTGGTTCTGTTTTTGTTTTTCAGGCAGGATCTGGAAGCGGAAACAATGGAACTAATGTGTTGGTTTTCTTTTTTTTTTTCTTCTTTTGGAGCAGTTTCTCCTCATCTGAGAGCTGTGGGATTAGATTCCTACCTCGCCTTCCGGTCTTTGGAGGAGCCACCAGGAGAGGATGGGTGTGGGCGGAGGAGGTCAGAGAGGGGAGGGGAAGGAGGAGGTTTGGCAGGACAAGGAGTAGGGAAAGATGGGATGTGCTTCTTCCTGCCTCTGGATCTTTGCCCACTGTCCCTACCTCAGTGCCTGTCCAGGTTGGTAGCCCCTATGTTTCCTTGAGATCAGACATCCTCCTCCAGGAAGCCCTCCCTGACCTCCCCCACCAGGGCTAAAGTGGTATCAGCACCTTCTTGCCGTCATTAACCTAATTCCCTCTTACACTGTAGGCTGCTCATATTGATTTACAGACCTCTCCTCCACAGGAGACTCTTAGCTCAGCACAGGGCCTAAAGATGGCCCTCGGGGGATACAGGGAAAGGGGGGCCCAGTCCCTACCCTGTGGTCCTCACTGTCTGCTCAGGCATTTTGGTCTGGGAGGGGGAAGGCGGTAGGGGAGAAAGGAGAGGGAGAGTCAGACTCAAATGGGAGGGCCAGGGCCGGGGGCGGGGGTGAGGGGTGCAGGCACAGAGGGGATGTGGATGGGGAGAGTGCAAGGGCTGGACTTTGAGTGTGGAAACTTTGTGCTGTGACTTTGGGCACTGAGATCTCCCCGAGCCTTAGTTTCCTTCTCTGTAAAATGGGGATAACAGCACCACCTGGTGGGACTAACTTGACTGGTACCAGCCTAAGGCAGTGGGGGCGTCCTGCAGGTGCTTTAACCAGCTTGGTGAGGGCAGGAGCTGGGGTTGGTGCCCAGGTGGTGGGGTCTTTGGCGGGAGGATCTGGGGCCTGAAGGTGAAAGCAGAGCCCCAGACAGATAAATCACAGTGGACCACTCAGCTACTGGTGCTAAGAATAACGTGACCACCCCCTCCTGCCTTCTCCCAGCATCCTCCAAGAGAGGGGCAAGGGTCCTGCAAATAGAAGTGAATTATGGGCAGAGGGGGCACTCAAACCTGCTGTAAATCATGCCGGGACGGCAGCATTTACGAGCCTCTTCTCAGGCTCCTCACTTAACCTCTTGTCCTCTCCCTGGTCACGCAGGGGGTAGCACTGGGTGGACACGAGGGGGTCCAGAGGGTTGGGGCTCCAGCTTGGGCTTCCTGTGACTAAGAGCCACTGGTGGCCTTGAGGTCTGGTGAGGAGAGAAGGACTGGAATAGGGGGAGAGGAGGCAGAGAGAGGTAGCTCCTGGAAAAACACCTGCACCTTTCCAGCTGGATCATCGATGGGGGCTTGTCTGTGGACACTAACCCCCAGATGCTGGGCCCCAACGCGGAGTATCCTGCCCCCCCGCCCTTGTGCATGCACATGGCGCTGTGATCAATATCTGTCAGATGGCAGCCCACTCTTATGCATCGCTCACCGCGGGCGTGGCTCTGCCCCGAGTTAACGCTCCATGACATCCAAGAGAAACTGAGGCACAGATAAGGGCGGTTACTTGCCAGGAAGTTGCAGAGTTGGGCTTCCACCAATGCTGCCTCTCAAAGGGGGTCCTGAGGACCCCCCAAGTGAGTGCAGCCCTGGAAGTTGTATGGGAGGGGAGGGTGTGGGGTGCACGACCCCAGAGAGGTGACCATCGGCTCTGCGCCTCTGTGTCCCCACTGCAGGATGGAGCTGAGTCTGTCCCTCTGGGCTGTGGGGAGGTGACAGTTCCTGGGCTGGGCTGGGGCCATCTGAGTGCCTCCCTTCACAGCCCCCCCACCCCATTACCCTTCTCTTTGCAGGTGCAGCTGTGCTTTTGGCCTGTGATTCCCTGTAAAAATCCACTGGAATCCACATCCCCCTGCTTGTGGCTTTTGCCCCACGTTTATATTTAACACAAATAAGATACATTCTTTGAGGAGACTTAGAAAATTCAGACATGAAAGTCTTCAACCCCCACCCCCTCCGCCCCTAGCCAGGCATTGGATCCATCCTGCCTGACTCTGCCTCTCCTTGACCCCATGACCTGGGGGTGCACAGCCTCAGGGGCTGGGCCTCAGGTCGCCCATCAGGAGCTCTACTGCTTGTCCAAACCCATGTCCTGGGGCTGGAGCCCAGGCTATGGAAGCCCTCAGTTCCTTTTCCAGCAGGAGATGCCCAATTCTGCCCACGGGCGCTGACAGGGAAGTGAGAACGCAGAGGCAGGGATGGGGGTGACACGGGTCCACTGAGGAAGTGAAAGTGTCCCTGAATCCTCCCATCTCTGACAAGGCTGCCCACAGAGGGCCAGTGCCAGTGCCCTTGTCTGGAGCGTCCCAGAGTGGTGCCCCCAGCCAAAACCATCCTTGGGGTCCCCAGCTATAACTCAGGGAGGAAGGGGTCCCCTGGCCCCCTGCCCAGGGAGCCCCAGCGCTGGAGGACCTTCCCAGCCTCACACCCCTGACTTTGACGCCGGCCTGGGCAGCCAAACCTTTTTTTTTTTTTTTTTTTTTTAAGATTTTATTTATTTATTTGACAGAGAGAGAGACAGCGAGAGCAGGAACACAAGCAGGGGGAGTGGGAGAGGGAGAAGCAGGCCTCCTGCCAAGCAGGGAGCCCGATGCGGGACTCGACCCCAGGACCCTGGGATCATGACCTGAGCCGAAGGCAGACGCTTAACGACTGAGCCACCCAGGCGCCCCGGGCAGCCAAACCTCTTGAGTGAGGACCAGGAAATTGAGGCCAGGGGAAGGAGCACCCGATTGGCTCCGTTTTTAGGCAGAGATGGAGCCAGGCCTAGAACCCTGGCCTGCTCCAGCTTGGGCCTCAGACAGCTGCCCCAGAATTTCTTGATGGCTGCCTCCAGACCGGTTCTGGTGTCTCAAATTCCTTCTACCCCCTGTAACTCCATGCAAATCTCCGCGGCCACATAGACCTGGGTTCAGATCTCATGCTGATGTGGTCCTGGCAAGCCCCTGCCTCTATAAAATGGGGCCAGTGAGACCTTGTGCTCAGACGGGGAGTAAGTGCAAGAAGTTCACACCCACCCTGGAGGGACCCAGAATGGGTGTCAGTTGGGTTGGAGGGTTGGGACTCGTAGCCACTCCTGCCACACCAGTCCACCCCAGGTGTGATGGGACAAAGGACAGGGGAGCTGCATCAGCAATGACCTCATCCACTTCCGCTGGGGCCCCACAGGGCCCTGTTCTGCTGGGGAGAGGGTCTCCCCTCCTATCCTCTTCCTCTGGGCTCCTTCCTGCTTCCCTAGGTGCGGCCGGCCCTTCCGTCCAGGCGCTCATCAATCGCACCCAAAGTACCCAGTGTCCGGCAGGCCTTCTCAGGCCCTGACTCACTTCCTGTTTCCCGGAGCTGGAAATCAGTCTCCCTCCCCAGGCAGCAGCTCCAAGTCCCCACCAGCGTGTGCCCCCACCCAGGCCTGGGCATCCACCACTCATCATCCACGTCTGGGTTCTGCTGGACGTGAAACCAGCCCAAAGATGCTCCCGTTGGTCATTTAGGGATGTAGCAGCACCCACTTGGAGGGTCTGGCCATGGGGCAGCAGCAGGGGACAGGACAAATGAGGACGTGCCCTTGAGACGTCTGCTAACGTTCAATAATCCTGTCACTCGTGTGCCATGAGCTCTGCGCAGTGTCCAACCACCCTCAAGCTGAGTGGGGAGGCAGGAGGGGAACCAACCTGTGGCGGGACCAGCAGAAGCATGTGTGGGCTTGGAGTGAGGCCGGACGGCCACACAGAGACTGTGGACAAGGAAAGGGGGACGGGACTTTACCGCAAGAGCTTTCGCAGAATTTCAAGTTAGAGGAAAACAACACGAACAGATTTATAATTTGAAAACATCCCTCGGGCTGCTGTGTGGGGAAGTGATTTGGAGAGAGGAAGAGGAAGGAGTGGGAGGAGGCATCCAGGCAGGAGGAGGTGGGGCTTGGATGGATGCAGTAGTCTTGGGGGTGGAGGAGACCTGAACTGATGGTGGGTGATTAGCTGGTGACCTCTGGAGGTGTGTGAGGAAGGGACAGAGCACTCAGCATCTCCTAGGCTCCCCGTTGTGTGCACGGCAGTGGGGGCCTGGGGTTGGGTCCGGCCTGTGCCACTCCCGTGCTCCAGGACTTTGGACGAGTCACTTAACTTTGCCATGCCTCATCTCCCCCTTCTGTAAAATGAGTAGAAGAAAGAATGAAAGTGCCTTCCTCTAAGGTGGTAAATACAGTCATCCCTGTGATGCTCTTGGAACAGTGTCTGCTCCTGGGGGAGCCTCAATAAACATTAGCTGCTTTTATTCCAGAGCTGTTTTTCTACCTCAGGCCTTGTTGGTCTTGACCTTCTGCTGTGTGCCAGGGACTGTGCAAGGGGTGACAAGACCCCCGTGAGTCCAAGAAGCACAGCCTCACCCCACTTTTGCAGATGGGGAAACGGAGGCTCAGAGAGAGAAGGGCTCTGACCACGGTCCCCCAGTTGAAAGTGGTGAAGCAGGATGTGAACTGGGATCCCTCTGGCCCCACAGCCTCCCACGCTGTTCTGCTCAGGGACCCAAGTGGCCCTCCCCTGCCTGTGGCCCTGAGCTGAGGGAATGGAGGTGAGGCTGGAACCATTGCCCTATCAATTTTAACCCAGTCAAGTCTCATCCTCACTGGAAAACCTTCATTTTAGACACACAAACTCTCCCTAGGACCAAGTGGTATTGACCTTCCCTGGCAGATGGGTGAGTGCAGGTGAGGACATCTGCAAGAGGCCAGGGGGTGGGGGGAAGAGAGGGTCAAGGCTGCCGCAAGCTCTATGGAGTGGGCACTGGCCCAGGAACTGATAAAAGAGCATTTGTTCATTTCCTCTCTCATTCATTCACCCATTCATTCATTCATCCTTGTGAGCCTGCTTTTAAGTCTAACATTCTGCCAAGTGATATATGCCCCCAGTAAGATCCCGCTCCTGAGACCCCCCCCCCTCCAGTTGCTGGGGAACCGAGCAACAGGTACTGTCACCGGTGTGGGGGCTCTGATGGCGGAAGCACAGGTCACCGCGGGAGTCCAGAGGAGGAGGTTAACCCAGCCTGGGAGGTCTGGGAAGGCTGCCTGGAAGAAGCCAGAGCCAAGGCTTGGGGACACCCTGGAGATTTAGACAGGGCGACAGAGCAAGGGGGACTCAGGGGCTGCCGGGCCTTTGGGACTCAGATTCTGACTAAGGGTAAGAGACTCTGGGGGATGGGGAGAAGAACAAAGGATGGTGGCTCATGCTGAGACACGCAGCTGTGGTCAGTGGAGGTTGTTCTTGAGTAAGATGAGGAATGGCGTCACCCAAAAGTCCCTAAAGAACCAATTCCAAGTTCCTCAATAGAGGGGACTCTGGCTGGGCTGAGTAATTATTCACAGGCTGGGCTGCCCAAGGTTAAGGGCTGGACCGCCCAAGGCCAGAGGCAGGACCAGCCAAGGCCAGAAGCTGGCCACCCATGGTCAGAAGCTAGACCATCCAAGGTCAGAGGCTGGCCAGCCAAGGTCAGCCTGAACTCTGCAAAGCACAGATTGGGCTATTGAACGTTGGTCATAACAATCATGGAGTTTTATGAGGAAACCCTCCTCTGTCCCTGGGAGCAGCAGGACCAGGACCTGAGAAGGTCGTGATGGCCTCCAAGGCCCTGAATCCCCACTGTGCGCCATAGATCATGGGCCCACAGCAGCTCCCAGGGACATCCCTCCGCATCGGAAATCACACACAAAGGGACAAGTAGACCTTTGCTGTACACTCATCCCCCGCATGTTCCTGAATCCCCATTTGTGTACATACAACCCCAATGTGCACCCCAGGCACGCAGGAGCGCGAGCACACCCCCCACACACACACACCCACACACTCCCACCCCTGCTTATGTACATGTCCCCATCTCCCTACCCACTGGGCATGCACACACAACCCAGGAACCCCCACACAGGGGCGCCTACAGGCTGCTGCCGGCTGTGGGGAAGCTCATTAACAGGGCAGCCCCGTGGGGCCCCTGGTGCCTCTCTCCTGGTGGCAGGGAGCTGGGCCAGCGGGCTCGGTCCCCAGCCTCTCGGGCAGCTGTCTGTGACCCTTCCCCTGCAGACCAGCAGCCTGGGGTGGTACACGCCCAGCTCTGGGAGTGTGCAGACAGGGTAGAGTCTGTGTGCAGGCTGCAGGGCACTGACCGAGCAGTTCCCTGTGACCGAGAGGGGTCCCTCGGACTTACCCCCCAAAATGAGCTGTGGATCACCCACCCACTAGCTCCGGACTCAGAAAGAGGCACCCAGGGTGCGAAAGCCCAAGACCCAGGAACTCCCCGGCTGCAGCCTCCCTCTCCTCACCCCCGACCCACACCAGCTACCCCAGGCCTAGCAAGCCCACCTCCTACCGAGCCCTCAGGCCATCTTTTTGTTCTCTGCCTCTGCCAGCTCCTGTTCAGGCCCCTGGCATCACCTGGCTGGCCATCTGCAGAAGCCCCATCCCTGGCCTCCCTCAGCCCATTCTGATCCTGCCCCTTTCCCTCTGAAAGGCATCCTTAAACCATCTATGGCTTCCCAAACTTGTGTCATGGACAGAGGGCTCTCCTAGGCCTTGCCGGCCCTCCAGCCTCAGGTGGAGCCTCTTCTCCCCAACCCCCCGAACCTCTGCTCCATCCACATGAGCCTGTGGCCTCCACTCCGTTCCTGCAGGCCTCAGGCTGCCGCTCACCTGTAGGTCTCTGCCCTTGTCCCCTTGCCGGGAAAGCTCTCTCTTCACCTCCCTCACTCCTCATCATCCTGCAGATCTCAGCTCTCAAGAGCCTCTGCCTCGGGGAAGCCCTCACTGACCCCCAAGGTGGGCTCATCTGTCTATGAGAAACTCTCCTAGAACCACCTGGTGTCACTTCTTCTTAGGACGGGTGGCCCTTTGCGGTGACATAATTATTTGAGTTATTTGATTAAAGATCGGCTCCCCCATGAGGCTGCGCTGAGGATAGGGACCATGCCTGTGGTTCCCCATAATATTCCCAATTCCTGGTACATAGTAGGTGCTTAGTCAGTGATTGCTGAAGGGAGGGAGAGAGGGAGGGAGAAAGGAAGGAAGGGCTCCGGTCCTGTGTTTTATTCCACCCAGGGCTTTGCCTGGGTGTGCAGGTGGAATGGAGGGGGCAGACCTGCCCTGGGAATCGGGTGTGAGGAGTCACTTTGAGGGCCAGCGGGTCTTCCATGCCGAAGTGGGGAGAGCAGGATGGCCTGGACTTGTGAAGGTGGATGGTCCGTTTGGCCACAGGGACAAAACAGGAGTCAGGAGGCAGCTTTGGCAGAGTCTGTCTGGCAATGCCCAGGGAGGGGGGCCTCCAGCAAAAAACAGGACTATTCTGTCTGCTTGGCAGATGTCCTAGGGTGGTGATACAGCCATCTGTCCATCCCAGCGTAGTGACCATGTGTCTCACGCTGGAAGATCCAGGGCATCACTCAGTCCACTGGGGAAGACAATGCCTTCATACTGTGTGGTAACTGATTTGATAGGAGGGGCTTCTAATATTGCTTCAGGGCTCGTGGAAGTCTACTCAGAAGGGTCATTTAGAGTAGGCCTTGAGGGATGCCTAGGAGTTCATTAGGGAAGACTTTTCAGAAGAGGTGACCTTTGGGCCGGGTCTTGAGGGAAGCATAAAAGTTCACCAAGAAAACAAGACCGGAAACACATCTTCCCTGGACACTGGTTTCTCTTTACAGACTTGTGTAGGCCATGGGGCCAGTAAGACCTGGGCCCTGCTCATCCATACCAGCCTTTCCCATACACCCTGTGTTACTAAGAATAAGGACTCTGGAATCCAGGCTCCATACACCAGCGGTTGACCTCAGGCAAGTCACTGCATGTCCTGGTGCCTCAGTTTCCCCACCACTAAATGGGTATGATAATGGCAGCTTCATTGAAGGGCTGTTGTAAGGTTTCAATAAAGGAATAGAGGCAAGGGCCCAGCTGGAATCCAGCCATGGAAGTGGCAGTTATTGTTATTTTGTTACCTGCCCTGCACTTGCTCAGTAAGAGGAGAGGTGGGGGGCCCTGGGGGAGCGGTGAGGTGTCTGGAGGAGCACAGATTCCAGGGAGCCACTGAGGAAAGACCCAGCTCCCACCCTGAGCAGCGACCAAACATCACTGGCCAACTCTGTTGAGGGGGGCAGATGTATCATCCCGTTTCACAGAAGGGAAAACTGAGGCCCAGAGGAGGGTGTAGTCTGAGAGGGAGCAAAAGGGTCTCGAGATGAGGCCCTGGCTGCAGGTGGGAGGAGGCAGGACAGGGAGAAATCTGACAGAAACCCAAGCCAGCTCTGAGCTCCATCTGGCCCTAGGGCAGGGGAAGGGCAGGACTTTCCAAAAGTCAGAGCTGGGGGGATTGTGGGAGCAACACCTCCTTACCGTCAATGTCTTTAATAATAAATGTCATTGATTTATTTACCAAGGGCCAGGTGCTGGCTACACACTCTCTAGGGATTATCCCATTTGATCCCCACAGCCGGGAGAGGTAAGGGACTCTTCTACCCATTTCACAGGCATGAAAACTGAGACCCGGAGAGGTGAAGGGACTCACCCTGGGTCATATAAATAGGAAGCAGAGAGTTGAGATCTGAACCCAGGTCCCAGGACCACAGGGTAACAACTCCATAGCTTTGCCTGGGGTTCCCCTGCATTCTCACTGGGCCCCACTCTTGGAGAAGAGGGAACAGCCAAACGTGGGTGAAAGTTCCAGCTCTAACTTGAGCAGCTTGGTGGCCCAAAGTAAGTCACTTCCCCTCTCTGAGCCTCAGTCTCCCCCTCTGTACATGGGCTCACAGTCTCTGCAGCATGAAGAGAGGAGATGAAGTTCATGTTGGATACTCAATAATCGTGTGAGTGCTCCATAAACCTGGCTCAGGTGCCACTTCCCCTGGGAAGCCTGCCTTGCTTGCTCCCATGGGCCTGGTTGTCCAAATGTCCTCTACGTATCCCCTCAGCCCTGCTGTCGGAGGGCATAGTCACTGCTGTGTCCCCCAGGCACGCAGTAGGTGCTTACTCAACATCTGCTGGAATGAGCATGGTCACATGGACCTGGGTTCAAATCCAGAGCTATTGCCTTGCTTCTCCAAGCCTGTTTACTCATCCATCAGATGGGATCAACAGCACAGGCCATCGGGGATTTGGCAAGGATTGGCTGGGCAATGTCTAGTGTATGGCAGGTGCCCGGTAGGTGCCCGGCCCACAAGACTCCCCATCCTCCTCAGCTCTGGGCTTTCCCTGCCTCCCTGTGGCTCCTGGCCTCAGGGCCACATTCACGG